AATAAAAGTATACAATTTTCGTGTCAATTTCAGATTCACGGGTCAATTTCGTGTCACGAGTCATTTTCGGGTCGTGTCGTGTCAACTCGTAAAGTGGTCGTATCGTGTTCGTCTTGCGGTTTTTAAAAAATTTCGTGTCACGGGTCGTGTTCGGGTTGACTGTAAATTTAGAAAGAAACGATCAAAACACGACACGTGACACGAATTGTCACCCTTACTATTAAGATTACTATGAAAGGATATGAATGCTATGGTAAACATTTTTGTAAAAGGAAATAAGATTCACATTACGAAAATAATTGGATTTTAACCCATGAGAATAAATAAAAATGCTCTTCATGAACTCAAGAACAAGCCCTTTAAAGTGTCATTATTTCACATACACGTTTTTCTTGCTGCCGCTTTACAATGTCTTCAGCACCTTGTCTTTTGCGTACTCGTAACAAGATAAATAAATAAATAAAGGCAAAACAGAAAAGCAAAAACGTTAAAAGGAAAAACACTTACAATGTCTTTCATGTAAACAGTAAATCTTTATCTACTTTATTGAACAATATACTACTGTAATCACAAGGCGATAATACATTTTCATGCTCCCAAAACGACTGGAGCAAAAGATTAATCCAAAATCATTTTGAGTGGCTAACTTTATTTTACAATTACGAGAAAGTTTGGAGATAATGTATCGGCTGAAAGTATATTGTCGCAGATGAACAAGGAAACACAATTATAAATTTAAAGTGTATCTTGCACGAGAAAATCTGCTCCAGTCTTTAAATTCATGAATCAGATAATGAATTGGAAATGAGCATGATTTATAACCACTCAATTAATGAGCATGATTTATAACCACTCAATTAATGAGCATGATTTATAACCACTCAATTAATGAGCATGATTTATAACCACTCAATTAATGAGCATGATTTATAACCACTCAATTAATGAGCATGATTTATAACCACTCAATTAATGAGCATGATTTATAACCACTCAATTAATGAGCATAATTTACAGAAGGCCAATGTGGGTGCTCCATAATTTCTTGGGGCTTTCTATATGTAGCCAAGCATTAAAGAATTTTGAGTCCTGCTAAGTTACAGATTTTGGTTTTGTTAATCCCCAATACCAATCAACAAGGGGTAAATAAAATAGAAAGACAAGTATTATCTACACCTTTTGGCTCCGAGTTCTTCTAGAGACCTGAAATAAGAAAAACAAAGTAAACCTTCCGTGAGAAAGGACATTAACAATCAGAAACAAAAAAAAAAAAAATATATATATATATATATATATTTTGAATGATGATAACCACGAATCGTGTGCTAAATTTCTTTACAGCTAAGCTACAGTTTTGAACAAAAAGTTTCTTCCAACACGACGGGACGTTTAGAAAGGGAATTCATGCCATGATTCGTGGTTTATTACAAAATTTTCTCTTAAAAAAACACACGTAAAACGAAAAAAGACATTAACAATCAGAAACAAGTATAAGAGAGAGAGAGAGAGAGAGAGAGAGAGAGAGAGAGAGAGAGATTGAATGATGATAACCACGTGCATTCGTGCTAAATGCATTCGTGCTAAATTTCTCTTTACAGCTAAGCTACTGTTTTCGAACAAAAAGTTTCTTCCAACACTTAATCTCGTATCACCAAAAGTCATGGTAAGGGGCGAAAAATATACATATATTAATATATATATATATATATACACACACACACACACACACACACCCACATAGATTCTGAATATTGAATGCGAAAACGGTTATTGTATGAGAGGAACCTAATTAAATTATATGAAGGTGTCGATATCAAATTAAAAGCCACAATTGTATACATATACATATATAGATATATCATGTCTTATAAACCATGTGATGCATGTGTTTGAATATCTAGCCACCTAAATTTTAAGAAGGGGCCATGTACAGCTTTTAGTTAACGGAGAGGATTGAAATTTATATTTGTGGTAAAAAAGACTGCCACATATGGTGTAAAGGAAGATTGTGTAAAAGATAAGATGATGTCTATCACACGATTCTATTAAAATTACTGTGAAAGGATATGAATTCTATGGTAAACATTTTTTGTCGATTCTGCACCCATAAACCATTAAGTTAGGAAGAAAATCCTTATCAATATAAAAGATTTAATGATTCAGTAGAAAGAGATTTAATGATTCAATGAAGAATCAAAGACCAAAAAATTTTTATCACTACAAAAGAAGTTCCAAACTGCCCCCGTACAACAAAGAAAACAATGATGCTAAATCAGAAGCGTCCTTGCCTCTCACATAAGATTCACTTTACAACTTGAGTTGTGGAAAGAACGTAGAGTGCTGTGGTGGTGGGTGGGGTTAGATCCGTTTTATGTACTTGGGTGGGTACAGAAGGATATTTGAAGACGGACATCAAGATAGTAAGAAAGGAAAAGTGCTGTGAAAGTGGGTGTAGTTTAACTGAAGAATTTTTTATAGGGCACTCCTATTTTCTTTTTACGTTGTATTAGAAACTGGTAGTATAGTTCTTGCTGTTGTGTACTGCTTGGAGTTGTTGTCCTCTCTGTTTTCTTGGTAGTTATACTTGTTTCACAAATGACTACACGTCAATTCTGGTTCACTACCAACAAGAGTTGTTAAGGCCCAATGCAAGTCCCGACTATCATTCAGTACCTATTTATGTTTTGCAATCATCTTTTTGAAATAAATAATTGACAACTATATGAGGCCTCTTCTACGTGTCTCTGTGTGTGTGTGTCATCCAAGACCATATGCGTTGAAATATACGTGCTAGAAATGCAACAGTCAGGCTATAGAATCATTCTGTTGGAAACTTACCATTCTCCTTATTTGCTAAACGTTTCGACTTTTGAGCAACATTTTTACCGAATGTATCAGCAGTTTTCTTTCTACCACTGAATGATAAGTCGATATGAAGCGGGTAAGAAAAAAAAAATGCTCATAAACCCAACGCTGTCCCAGAAACTATAAAGCAAAGTGTTGAATTTGATTGTCTATATTAGCAAAGATTTCAAATAGAATGAAAACAAAATAATATCATAGAAATATGATGCCGAAGACAACTGAAACGTGTAAAGCAAGAGGAACAAATGCTTTCCTGAGTAATAAAATGCAATTAAAAAATAATTTGACAAACAAACACTCACAAAATTCATACTATAACACAGAAGTTACCGCTATTATCTGCCAATGTCCCATTCAATAAATAAGAAATAAATATTAAAAAAAAACAAAAGAATTTACTTCATGGTCTTTGCATATTCATGATTTTGGTTTTATATAGATCTATTTTTTTCCTTTCATTTTTCTAGTCTGCAGTATCGGACCCTTGGTTCACATTTAAATTACTTAAACTATAGCTTTTTAAATTAAAAAAGGGCAATCGAATAAGTTAAGGGCCCGTATATTTCATATACTCAAACTCAAATCATTGATTTTGCTGCAATGCTTTCCTCTAACAAAAAATTTGAATTTCAAACTTCAGAATTAAGAATCATGATTTGAGTATACCTTCCAAACAGGCCCTAAGACTTTAAAGCGTGTCAATCTATGCATATTGTGTTCATACCAGTTACATGTAACAGGCCAGTCAAAGTAAGGCTAATTACTTGTGCTTGCCAACCAGTAACTAGACGACATGTTATGTTAACATAATAACTGGCATATAAAACTGCAAACATCCTATCACAACCATTTGAAAAATCAGAACAACTTTCTATCGGAAATTAAATTTAAGGAAAAAAAAAAGTTATTGAAACAATCCACAAGTTTCCCCAAGCTAATATAAGGGAAAGAAAAGTTGACGGGGCAGGCTTTCAAAGGGTCATCAATATCCCTACCCACGCTTCACACAAGGGAAACCACCCATGTCTATGGTACAGATCCATTGAACGGCAATATAAACCATGTCAAGGCCATGAAATAGAACATCAAATTTGAGATGTTACTTTAGGGATATTTTGAGCAACGGCACAGTAAAAAAAGAGTAACAGCACATATTAAATAGTTCAATAAGAAGACATGACAAAGTTATATATTAGCAACTCACCGGTGCTGCAAATCGACGCCATTTGAATGCTCTGCCAACGTAACCCTCTAAAAATAAAATAAAATAAAAGCAAAAAAACAAAAAACAAAAAAACAACAACACAGCCATGAGGACTTAATGAACAAGCAGAAATCCTTGGAACTGGTATGGATGCCAACTCATAAAGTCAATAGGTAGAAGAAAGCGCTAAACTGAAACGTTAGGTTCACAAAATTATAGCAAAGTAATGTTTTTCGCATTCCACATAGTGGTGTTTTCCAACTGCCATGAGAAAATTGGAGTTTTCTAGTTTCATCTTCTGTTTAGAAATATTGAAATATCAAAGGAATGCACGTTAGTTGTAGCCAGAAGGCTGCGACAAAGATGGGTAGTTTCTAAGATTTTGGTTTTATTAGCTCTCAAACTAATACAAATAAAATTGAAAGTTAGTTGAAAACAGATTCTTTTTCTAACTCAGCTATAGCTTCCAACACTGCAGTGTGGTATCACAATCATATAACGTGGATCAAGGACCACAAGTATATACCAATCCAGGATCATTCATATTTTCATCTTACCCTTTCCAGTTGGGAATCACCACTTAGAGTCTCCCAGCTCTCGCTGTCCAAGCATACTAGTTCAACAGCTCCATTGTCGCATGCAATCTGTCCAATTGATCCAAAACATAAAATTATCTTTATTCCAAACAAAAGAGTCATTTTCTCGCAAAGCATGAACTCATTAATTAAGTGGTAACAAGAATCACAGCAAGCATAGGTAAACTAATTTCTTCCAAACAAAAGAGTCATTTTACTATTACATAAAATCGGGAAACAAAACATATGATCCACAATCTTTATTCCAAAGTCGACTTTCCATCTGTATGTTTGAATCTCAAGTTTCACATTATTAAGCTTTTCACCATAGTCAGCCAAATCAAAAGATTCAAAAGTGTCCACATACTCTACAGCTTCAAATACACAAAACTGCTATATGAATTCATGCTTGTTGAAAATGTAGTTTTCTTCGCAGGAAAAAACATATATGAGGTCAGAATAAGAAGACCAAACCACACGAAGATCAAGCAAGAAAACTGATGTTCAGATAAAGAAGAGACCCATGAGTCTTCACATAGTTACAAAAACTAGAAACAAAAATAAAAGTAAGAATAATATAAACATAAAAGAAAAAAAGAAATTCTGATTGACAATGGAGTATAGAATCCTATCCAATTGTACATATTACATTCACTCACCTTGTGTTTATTGTTTTCGGGGTTATAACCATCCACAGTGCCAGAGTGAAAACTGGAAAAGGAAAAGGACAAGATATTGTTAGATAGACAGATAACAAATGATTCCCCATGTATTATTTTGCCAAGAGAAAATCCTCACCATCTATCAATTGGAGATAACAATTTGATTCGAGTTCCAATCAATGCCTCCCCCTTACTACTAGTTTCCTACATAATTCAAAATACATTATTACTTAGGAAACTGTCATGGAAGATATAAAGAAATTTCAAAGTACATCCAGAGTTTTCATATTTACTTCCAAGCTGCAAGGGGCCTTGACATTGGTTTGGTTGGCTTTAGAATACTCAGCACTGCCACTGCTACTCACCCCAATACTTTCTTTCAAAGAAGCAGAACTCCTTTTAGGATTTTGGGTTGAAACATGTGATCCAGCTAGAGAAGGTTTTACAGGCACAGAGCCACTAGAGGATAAAAGTTGTTCTTTCTCTGAACTTAGTCCTAATTTTTCAGATATATCAATGTGGCGATCTTTTTTAGAACACTCATGCAATTGAACTGATACTGGAGCATTTGGAGAGACAGCTCGTTTTCTCCCCACAGTAATTTCTTGCTCCCCAGTGTTTTGGCGCTCTGCAGTTTTACCAATTCGCAGATCTCTCTTGGAAGATGCTAAGGTCAGATGGCTGTCCTCAACACTACCTGATTGTGTGCTATCCTCTAGATACTTTCGACCACGTTTAGAAAGATAGCTAGCATGCTGATATGTAAAATGAATAAATAAATAAAAACTCCAAAAGAGAGAAAAACTAAATTATCTAAAATAATAATGAGCATAACATTAAATTAGAAAAAGGCACCTCAGACGTGCTATGAGACTTAAATACATGAATGACTCTTTTGGCAAAGTATTCATCGAAACAGGATTGTGTAAGACATCTTGAATTAGCCTGCAGCTGATACATAAAATGTGACTTAAAAAAAAAAAAAAAAAAAAAAAAAGTTTTGAATTTAATGAAGAATTAATAACTTCTTTGCAATCTCGCTCATATATACTTCTTGTACCCAAGACATACTCTATACAGTGATGACGGCAGCAAAACGTGTCCAGGGGCATGCGAAGAGGATATTCCACTTTGATTTACTGCAGTGACAAAAGAAAACCCAATATCTGCTAGAAGGTGAAGCTTCTGCAATGTAAGAAAAACTCTTTCATGTATCATGTAATAGCAGAGCAAACTAATTAAAGGAGATGAACACTTGAAAGAAAAGCCTTACAGAAGTTTTTTCAACGTCAACAGCATCCTCAGCTCTCTTAATAGCACGGAAAATACAAAGCAAATAAAAGACAGCATCCTTGACTACATCCAAGTTACCATCAACATTGCTGGCATCAAGTAATGCCTGCAAGAAACAAAAAAGTGGACTGCAAAGAAACATATATTGATCAGCACTGTGATATAAATTGTCATAGACTACGGGATAATCAGTATTAAGAATAGACGTGCCTGCAAAAGTGAGCACATAATTCTTCATTTTGACACTCTTCAAGAGGAAAATCTTTATCATGAGCAAGAAGATGAATCAAGAATACTACTATATATGCAGGAAAGTCGGTGATTAATCCTTGCTGAACTCCAGTAGTTTGACGAATACGAGCTTCTCTACTGTACTCTTTAACAAATTCTGCCATGTATTTAAATGACTACAACCAACAGTATCAGAAATCATTTTTTACGTTTAAACAAGATGATTAGTTAATTCATTTATAGTTGAAATTAGCATACATCATCACGTATATCCTTGAGGCAATCTGAGAAGGCCAATGCATAAGAACATGCATATCTACTTGGTATGGCACGGTCCTTTAACAGTTTGTGTGTTTTATCAAGAAATGATCTTCTAGCAAAAGATGACACATCCTGCAATACAACCCAAAAAAAAAAAAAAAAAGACCAACATCTTACAAATATAGGAATGCACAAAGAGAAAAATTTAAATATGACGAAGTGAAATCCTAAGAAGGAAATAGTTATGGTACCTCAACCAATTACTTAAGAACGGCTAATACACACAAGAAAGTTGATTCAACTGGCAACTAATCGTGTTTTGTTAGATCACTCAAATTCAAAAAGTATTCGTTTGAAAGAATCACAATAGATCTATTTCCTCTTTGGAGCTAAGTTTCTATAATCTCTTTCAGATTGAGAATCTTATGAGCTCAAGAATGTATTTCCTCAAAAAATAAAATGCAATGTTCATTAAGAACTAAAAGAGAGAAAAAGAAAGCAAATGTGTATTTTGTTCTCAAAACATTGATGGGGCAAAATATCAATAACTTGCAATAAATAAAGAAAAATCAGATATTATTACATCCAAGCCCCAAAATATAGACTAAATCTTTCCATTACTTTCCTAAGTCTTCCGCAAGTATAACCTTTCATAATATAGTTTAAAATATGATTCTGAAGCAATGCTTATACAATCTTTAATACTCCTTTAACCAACACGCCTGTTTCTGAAAAGAGCCAATTCACCTTACCTTTGTCAATGAAATAGTGAAGTAAAATGTCTCCGGAGATATATGTAAATCCCATCTTCGTGAAAGTCGAAGAATGGACTTTGCAGCAGCTAGTCTCGTACAAGCCTTATTTCTTTGACTGCTTTTTTTTTTTTTTTTGGAAAAGAAACAAAACTTCATTAGGTTATTACTTTGACTGCCTTACATAACAATAATTAGCAGAAAAGCATCTGTTAACTCCTATCATTATTTGACAAGCAAGCCAATTGAAGAATCCATTCCCACAGTGAAAATGTGACCTTGGCAAGGATAAATACAATAAGAATACGAATAAGAATAACCACATCAATGAAAAATGGGTGCACATGGAAATAAAGCCACCCAAGAGAACTCTATAATTTTTGAAAAGCATTAAAACTCATGGAGTCAGGGTTAACGGTTAACCGTGAGGAATTGTAACCCTGAAATACGTGGGAGCAAAACACAAACCAGGCCACTCAAGTAACTCTTCAGAGTTAATCATGCACACCTTCCTATATTGTGCACCAAAAACCCACGGCAAAAGCATGCAATGCACATTAATTTAGTTAAGCTCATAGAAGCAGTCTTTTCACTTATGTTGTGTAACACCATTAGAATGCTATACAAAAACATAACAGAACGTCCAATAATCTCTGATATAAAATGATGTCAACAGAACCCAAACAAGGATGGGCATGCATGTGTCAAAGCTTGGACGATCATTTAGCTTTGTCAAATTAATAACGTCATGTTTCGGTCTTTCTATAAAAGTTAGTTATGGACCAAGCCCCCAAGAGTGAATTTTCTACAAATTCTTCATACCTAGGCTAGAGCTAGTTATGACTTGAGGAAGACAGGGACCGGAAACCCTACCATGAGGTGAAACCGCAGCAAGAATCATAATTTTTCAGCATTGCCAACAAAATGTCCAATAATTCATTGATTTTCCGCCTGACATTAGCTCCATGGTGTGGCAAAAAACTCTTGACAAGTGTTTTCAACCCATATATCTACAAAAGCGAAAAAAGAATTAAAAAAACAAAAGAGTGTCACACAAGAAAATATAGTTCATATAGAGCTACAACACTCAAAAGTTCAATGATATTCAAATCTTTTTTTTTATATATATAAGAAACTGATAACTTTATTGATATCAACAAAAAGTTACAAAGGATCAAATCTGAGTTCTTCCATTTTAGTTTAAAGTACTTGAATTAATTATTTCAGTTCAGGTTTCCTTTTAAAAAGACACATAGGCCTAACTAAAACCCAAATTCCACAAAGAATTTATCTCTTTGCATCGACATTAATAAATAAACATAAATAATAACCCAATTACTACAAAAACATGTAAACGAATTATTCTATATTCCATTCCAAAAAAAAAAAAAAAAAAAAAAAAAAAAAAAAAAAAACAGTTATATACTCTCAGTATTTTTTCATCTATAGTAAATCCGCATCAATTTATTACCAATAAGAGTTCAAGACCACTAAAACATGGGATATCAGGTTAGGATTATTTTGACATGATATACCAGATGAAACTTTTTTCTCCAAAAACCAAAAAAACTAGGAATACGGATCTATAAATAATTTGAGCATGTCATCATTGATATACTTTTTCCTCCCTTATCCCACTTATTACCGTTTTTATCCTAAAATTCTCCATGTACAATTACACAATCTAGTTAAGCACAAAAGCCTACAAGGAACAATAGGAGCACAACCAGAGTACAGAACAATGAATGCCAAACATCCAGCGGTCTATACATTTACAGTGAAACCCTTAATAGCTAAACCGATGTCCAGCACATTTCTTATTTATTAAATATGTATAAGCGAGGGAAAAAAATATATATTTATGAGGTTAAATTATTGCTAGAATAAAGCATCTGTTAGGATCCTGGTTGAGTCCCACATTGTTAAAGTATGGGCTTAGCATGTGGGTTTATAACCACTTGGGCACCCTCTCCCTACAAGCTAGCTTTTGGGGATGAGTTCTACCCAAGGGTTATAACAGCATCATAGCACGTTTGCTTCATACATTCTTACTTTCCCTTGAAACTCCAATGGCTCACCCTAGTGAGAGAGCTTTCTCTTCAAGAGCTATAATCCATACGAGCTTCCAGCCCTACATTGATTCCCTGAAGTGAGAAGGAACCCTAGTGGGCTAGTGAGTTGTACGAGCACATTGATGCTCTGGGCAACCAAATCTCCAATCTCCATGCTCAAACTAGAGCTCACTTAGAGTATTACTCTCAAAAGGTGGCTGAATTAGAAACGCAAACTGCCCACATGTTTCGTTGCATTTCGGAAGGCTAAGATCTCCCAACTCGAATCGAAATTGGCTAGCACCAAGGCTGAACTTAGTGCGGCCTACATCGAGATTCGACATTTGTGGATGTCCCTATTTACACCCAGCCCTCGGCTTCCTTCGTCGGTCCTCGTTCATCCAACCATCGGTCTTTCCATGGAGCTCTTCGAGGTCCCAACAATGGCTCCTATGGATGATGCACGGCTGCCATATCTACTAGAGAGAGTAGTGTTGCAAAAGTTTTAGTAAATTTTTGCTTAAGAAAGCATAAAAAGAGGGACGTGTTAGTTCCTTGATTTTGTAAGAACTTTCTTATAAATGAATGAATAAATAAATAAATAAAACGTCCCTCTCTTTGTGCTTTCTTAAGCAAAAGTTACTAAAACTTTTGCGGCACTACTCTCTCTAATATATGACAGCAGTGCATCACCCATAGACGCCGTTGTTGCAACCTCGAAGAGCTCCACGGCAACCTCGACAATTGGATGAACGAAGACCGCCGAAGGAAGCCGAAGGCTGAGTGTAAATGGGGACATCCACCACGTTCTCTCGGAGATTATAATATAGATCCCTCCAACATTGAATCTCGATGTAGGCCACACTAAGTTCAGCCTTGGAGCTGGCTAATTTCGATTCAAGTTGGGAGATCTTAGCCTCCACGTACACTTGAATCTCCAAAATGCAACGAAACGCATAGGCAGTTTGAGTTTCCAATTCAGCCACCTTTTGAGAGTAATACTCTAAGTGAACTCTACTTTGAGCATGGAGATCGGAGATTTGGTTGTTGAGAGCATCAACGTGCTTGTACAACTCACTAGCCCTACTAGAATTCCTTCTCACTTCAGGGAAAGAAGGAAGGCTGGAAGCTCATATGGATTAGCTCTTGAAGATGGAGCTCTATCACTAGGGAGAGCCATTTGAGTGTTCAAGGGAAAGTAAGGATGTATGAAGCAAAAGTACATGTTGGTGGATGAGAAGAATGAAGAGGGGGATTTTATAGATGAATTGTAATATTCATTACAATTCAGGGGACTTAATGTTTTGGGGTTAAAAAATTGTTTTATTACTAAAATTAGTTTAAAAAACTGATACCTAAATGCTGCCTCTAAGAGGGCAGCCACAAGAGGGTTTAAAAGTGCTGGTTGTTGAAGAAAACTAAATATATAAAGACCCTATCTGCTAGACAGCTTCAATAGCAGGTTTCAAAGCATGTTTGACACCTGCCCTGCCTCAAGAACAGGTGTCAAAAGGTGTTTGACACCTGCCCAACCTCAAGAACAGGTGTCAAAAGGTGTTGGACACCTGCCTAGCTTCAATGGCAGCTGTCAAAATGCATGCAAAATGATGGGCCCCCAAAACCTCCGATGCGTTACACTTACGCCAGGAGAAGGCCCAAAGTTAATCAGGGTAAACTGGCAGGAGAAGGTGTTACGGAGAATGGTGAGGTGGAAGCTGACATGGAAGGAGCACGCAGCATGGGAGAAAGAGTTGCTGCTGGGAATACGCAATAGCCCTTCCTTCGAGAGAAGCCTCGGGATGAGGGCAGGAAGTTAGGAAACGGTTAGGAAGGAAGTAAGAGAATAAAAAAGAGAGGAGGAAGGCGGAAAAGAGGCCACGGAAGTGGTAATTGATTTCTTTGCTTAACAAGCTTAGCTCTAGGGAGTGCAAGGGGTCACTCGAATACCCCCACATCTCTTGTATTTTGTTCATTTCCTTCAGTAAAGTGGTGCGAATTTGTTTACAGACCCTAATCAATAGACTCGGACTTAACAAAGTGGTATCAGAGCAACAATTCTGGGATGGCACCGGCCAAGAAAATGGACGAGATAGCGGTGGAGGTTCGCGAGGAGGTCCAGCGGGACTTGGAGACCATGAAAGGGGAGTTGCAGGAGGCTTTCCGTGAAGATCTCAAGAAGATTCCGAAGCTGGAAAAGAGCTTGGAAATGGTGATCGGGAAACTGGAGGAGCTTCTGAGGCAGCGAGAGGCTTCCACGCCGGGATCGACGGCTTCGGGCAAGGAGCTCCCTTCAAACCCAACCATGACGCCAGGCGGATTGAACGGGAGGAATGGTGGTCCGTTCGACACTGCGGGGCGCCAGGAAGCGTATGACGGCGGAGGACGACCGGACATGACCCACCGTGAGAGTACAAATCGAGGTGAGTGGAGGACACGACGGGGGGAAATGCCCGTATTCAATGGGGAGGACCCCGACGGGTGGATTTTTCGAGCAGAGAGATACTTCGCGCTCAGCCGGAGCTCAGAGACGGAGAAATTGGAAGCGGCGGTAGTTAGCATGGAAGGAGAGGCGCTGGCGTGGTTCCAGTGGGAGGATGGACGGCGGGCCATCCGTGACTAGTTGGATCATAAGCGAATGATCCTCGAGCGTTTTAGACCCACGCAAGAAGGAAGCCTCCACGAGAAATTCCTAGCACTCCGGCAGGAGACCACCGTGAGGGAGTACCGACGGCAATTTGAAGTCATGGCGGCGCCGTTAGCGGGAATCCCAGAGCAGGTCCTGGAGGGGAATTTTATCAAGGGATTGAAGCTGGACGTGAGGGCTGAGATTCGAATGCTCAAGCCAATTGGGCTGGGCCGAATTATGGAACTGGCCCAAAGGGTGGAAGATAGGAACACACAACTTAAGTCCGCAGGAGGACCCATGGGCTCGCAGGGAGCTTGGTCCAGAAATTATGTGGGCCCACCTGCTGCAGCCACACGTTTTGGACCCCCATCCCAGCCACGTCCCACGCAACCAACTGAGAAGCACGTGGGACCTTCGTCAACTCCTTTCCGCCGCCTCACTGATGCAGAATTACAGGCAAAACGGGATAAGGGGCTTTGTTATCGCTGTGATGGCAAATATTCGGTAGGTCACCGCTGCCCCAACAGAGAATTGCAGGTTTTGGTGGTCCGGGAGAAGAGGCCGACGGTGAGAAGAACATAGAGACCGGAGGGGAAACATGGGAGGATGCCTTGGCAGAGGAGCTTGTGGAATTATCGCTAAACTCCGTGGTAGGTTTGACAGCATCTCGTACTATGAAGCTTAAGGGGCGAATTAAAGGAACGGAGGTGATAATTCTAATTGATAGTGGAGCTAGCCATAATTTCATCTCCACGGAACTCGTGCAGAGTTTAGATTTGGGTTTGGATACCACAGGCGGTTACGGCGTAGTGATGGGAACCGGCCTCACAGTCAAGGGAGAAGGTGTGTGCCGGGGAGTGGTGATATCGGTGCAAGACGTGGAGATCGTCGAGGATTTCCTTCCTTTAGAACTGGGAAGCGTAGACGTGATACTCAGGATGCAGTGGCTGGAGACGGTAGGGGCGGGAGCCGTTAATTGGAAGGCCCTCTCGATGCAGTTTAAAATCGGTGACACTACAGTGGTGTTGCAAGGGGATCCAGGCCTCTGCAAGTCACCCATCTCCTTGAAAGGTATGATGCGGGCTCTGAAGAATGAAGGACAGGGCTTCTGGGTAGAATTGGGGGTGATGTCAGCGGAAGGGAAACCTGAGAAGGAGCAGGGTTATCAGGTCCCACCAGTCCTGCAGGCCGTTCTACAGGAACACGCCCATGTCTTCCAGATGCCAGTCGGTCTTCCCCCACCAAGGGCACGAGATCATCAAATTCCATTAAAAGTAGGAACCTCACCCATTAATGTCCGCCCATATAGGTATCCTCAAGTCCAAAAAGATGAAATTGAGACATTGGTAGGAGAGATGCTGGCTGCGGGCATTATCCAGCCCAGTGTTAGTCCTTTCTCCAGTCCGGTTCTCCTTGTTAAGAAGAAAGATGGGAGCTGGCGATTCTGCGTCGATTACCGAGCTCTAAATCGGGAAACCATTCCGGATCGTTTTCCCATACCGGTGATTGATGAGCTCCTCGACGAATTGCACGGCGCCACCATTTTTTCGAAGATCGATTTGAAATCGGGCTACCACCAAATCCGGGTGCACAGCGAGGATGTACCGAAACAGCCTTCCGCACCCACGAGGGGCACTACGAGTTTTTGGTCATGCCCTTCGGGCTCACCAACGCCCCGGCAACGTTTCAATCCCTCATGAACGAGGTATTTCGCCCCTTTCTCCGAAAATTCGTTTTAGTTTTCTTCGATGACATATTAGTGTACAGCCGCTCCAGCGAAGAGCATGCCCTGCACCTCGGCGTAGTATTGTCGGAGCTCTCCAAACACCGGCTGTACGCAAATGCTAAGAAATGCTGCTTTGGGCAGCCAGCTCTCGAGTACTTGGGCCACATCATTTCCAGGGAAGGGGTTGCCGCAGACAAGGCCAAGATCGAGGTAATGATGAGCTGGCCAATGCCGACCAACCTACGGGAACTTAGGGGATTCTTGGGTTTGACCGGTTACTACCGGAAGTTTGTCCGGGGGTATGGGACTATTGCTTGGCCACTGACACAATTACTTAAAAAAGACAGTTTCGTATGGACAGAGGAGGCCACTGAGGCGTTTCGGAAACTCAAGACAGCCATGACCACGGTGCCCGTACTAGCACTTCCGGATTTTACCCGGGAGTTTATCATTGAAACGGATGCCTCAGGCATCGGGATTAGGGCTGTTTTGATGCAGGAACAACGTCCCATCGCTTTTTTCAGCCAAGCATTATCTACCACAACTCGTCTCAAGTCAGTCTACGAGCGGGAGCTTATGGCCATCGTATTGGCAGTTCAAAAATGGCGCCCATATCTCCTGGGTAGACACTTCATTATTCGGACGGACCAAAAAAGCCTGAAATTTTTGCTTGACCAGCGGATGATAGGAGAGCCTCACCAGCGCTGGATGTCCAAGCTGCTGGGTTTCAATTTTGAAATCCAATACTGGCCTGGCTTGGAGAATAAGGCCGCGGACGCACTTTCTCGCCTGCCCAACGCAGCGGAATTCAGACTTCTTTCTATTCCGGTTGAGTTGGACTCCGAGGAGATCAACCGCCACAATGCCGCGGATGCCAAGCTATGCCGGATGGTGCAGGATCTCTTGGCGGACTCAGCATCCCACCCGGGCTTCTCCTTGCAACAGGGGCGCCTCATGAAAGAAGGCCAGATAGTAATCTCCCGGGACTCCAACTTGGTGGCCGAACTGCTAGACACTTACCATGATGGGGTGGTCGGGGGACACTCAGGTGTGCTCAAAACGTATCGACGCCTGGCAGCCGATTGGTACTGGTTCGGTATGAAGAAGGACGTCACGGCTTACGTCGCGAAGTGTCGAATATGCCAACAGCACAAATACGACACCCTTGCCCCTGGGGGCTTACTGCAGCCCCTGCCCCTGCTCGACAAAGTATGGGATGACCTTTCGATGGATTTCATCGAGGGGCTGCCAAAGTCAGAAGGGTTTGACGCTATCTTCGTCGTGGTGGATCGCCTGAGCAAATATGCTCACTTCATCCCACTCAAGCACCCCTTCACAGCCACCACAGTGGCGGCTGAGTTCCTGCGCAGGGTGGTCCGGTTACATGGGATACCCCGCTCTATAGTATCGAATCGCGATAGAATCTTCCTCAGCAAATTCTGGACAGAATTATTCAAGCAGCAGGGTTCAACACTAGCCCGGAGTACGGCCTATCATCCTCAAACGGATGGCCAAACCGAGGTGGTGAACAGGTGCCTAGAAACGTACCTGCGGTGTTTTTCGTCCGAGACACCTCGCCAATGGTCCAAGTGGCTGCCTTGGGCAGAGTATTGGTACAACACATCGTTCCACACCGCCACTCACATGACCCCTTTCCGGGCCCTCTATGGTCGAGACCCCCCTCCCCTGATTCGTTATGGTATAGGTCTCTCTCCGGTGGCCACGGTCGATCAGCAATTGGCAGATCGGGATGCCACCTTAGACCTCCTGAAGTAACAATTGCTGCGAGCCCAACAAAAGATGAAGCTCCAGGCCGATGGCTCGCGTCGCGATGTCTCCTTTGAAGAAGGCGACTTGGTGTACCTCAAACTCCGACCCTACCGGCAGAAGTCGTTGGCACAGCGGCGTCATGAGAAGCTTGCGCCTCGTTTCTACGGGCCATACGCGGTGCTGGCCCGGGTTGGCCGCGTGGCTTATCGGCTACAACTGCCTGCATCCGCGGCAATTCACCCCGTTTTCCATGTATCCCAGCTGCGCCGGGCAGTGGGGGATACAAGCCAAGAGGCCGCCCTACCGCCTCAGCTCACCTCGGACATGGTCCTCCAGGTCCAGCCGGCGGCACTACGGGGAGTTTGCCAGGCCGCTCGAGGGACTACAACAACGCTGGAAGTTCTCATTCATTGGGAGCACCTACCGGACCATGAAGACACTTGGGAGGACTTCGACCGCATCCACGCCGCCTTTCCAGAATTCCACCTTGCGGACAAGGTGCATCTTTGGGCCGGGGGTATTGATGGGCCCCCAAAACCTCCGCTGCGTTACACTTACGCCAGGAGAAGGCCCAAAGTTAATCAGGGTAAACTGGCAGGAGAAGGTGTTACGGAGAATGGTGAGGTGGAAGCTGACATGGAAGGAGCACGCAGCATGGGAGAAAGAGTTGCTGCTGGGAATACGCAATAGCCCTTCCTTCGAGAGAAGCCTCGGGATGAGGGCAGGAAGTTAGGAAACGGTTAGGAAGGAAGAAGAGAATAAAAAAGAGAGGAGGAAGGCGGAAAAGAGGCCACGGAAGTGGTAATTGATTTCTTTGCTTAACAAGCTTAGCTCTAGGGAGTGCAAGGGGTCACTCGAATACCCCCACATCTCTTGTATTTTGTTCATTTCCTTCAGTAAAGTGGTGCGAATTTGTTTACAGACCCTAATCAATAGACTCGGACTTAACACAAAACCTGATCAGGTTTCAAGGAAACCATTATGGAAATCAAGGGGCTGGTTTTGGAGGTCCCTAGGAGCAAGAAGTCCAAATGATCAATCATTTTGGCGAGAAACAACACAATCAGCCATAGAGAAATCAGAAAACTCTCATTCACCTAATCTCCCAGAAAACTCTCATTCTCCTAATCTCCCTCTTAGTTCCTTCTCATTTACCTCTTAGTTCCTTCTTCTCATTTACCTCTTCCTTCCTTCTTCAAATTTCAGCCAAGTATCTTACCCTTCTAAGTCTTAAATCCATACATCCCGTACTTCTCTTCTTATCCTAAACCAAAAAAAAAAAAAAAAAGTCCCTATAGAGATCAAACAAGATCATGAATCTAGTCTAAGCTACAAACCCTAAAATTTCAATTATGTGTGAGGTGTTACATGTACACTTAAAACATGTCTTTTTATTACCGTCATCCATGATCTAATTCTTATTTGTTTTAGCATGTTTGTGTTTTATGGAATTTATTTTCTGTCATTTACTTTACGTTCATAATCCAGTTATCTATCCATGCTTTGTTTTAATTTATTTTAGTTGATTAATCCAGTTATCTAGTCCTGTTATTTTGTCTTCTAATTAATCCAGTTATCTGGTCCTTTAATTTTAGTTCCAAGTTGACCCAATTACTTGGTCCTATTGTTTAAATTTCTATCTAATTCTAGTTAGCTGGTCCAATTTAATAGGTGCGTTTAGAATTGGTTTCAAAATGATTTTATTTTCAATAAAAATTAAAAATGAGATTATTTTGAGAATCATTTTAAGACCGATTTTGAAATTGCGTTTAGTTGGTTTTTGAAGAGATTGTTTTGAGTATAATAAAAAAGTGAAATCGTGTTTATTAATTAATATATTATAATATTATTGATAAGTACTAAAAAATGAAAACAGAAAATAAAAACAAAAAAGTGAAAATAACTTTCAACTGTTTTCTAATCCCTTCACAAAAACCATTCTCACTATTTTCGTTTTCATTTTCAAAATATTTGCTAAACAAACGTTGTTTCGTTTTCATTTTCATTTTTTACTTCTCGAAATACGTGAAAACCGTTTTCAAAAACGGTTCCAAACACGCACATTATTTTCCAGTTTCTCATTCTAGTCCTTTATTACTATATGCACTTTTACTTTTTTTCAGTTTAATGCCAACAATGTTTTATGCTTATCATTTTTATTAGTATCTAAAAAGAGTAGTTCTAATTTTACCACGAATAACCGACAAATGCATCCAAGGAAACACCTAATTTGTCCAAACTTACCTTCAAGTTGGAGGAATCGCTACACCCAGAAATATCATCAAATGACCTTAAATCGTCCAACAAGTCCACCTACACAAGCTAAATTCAGATTGTTAGGCCAATAATTTCCACACACAAACAAAAAGAAGTTCAACCAGAATAATCCCACCCATTAATAAATATTAAAATAAAAAATAAAAAATAAAAAATAAATAAAAACTCTAGCATCATTCTAGCACACAACGGAAGAAAATGAGCAGATAAGACATTACTTGAAGGATTCTCTCATATATAAATGGTGTAATCTCTCCATCTTGAGCGTCAAATGTTGAAGCAGAATGTTGTGCAAGACATCCTAGAGACTGCAACACTGTCGGAATGTTCTTCCCAGTATGTAGAGATTCCACAAGTTCCTGCCAGATAACAGCCCACAGTTGACAATGACTAAGACAAATAAATAGCTATGGCGTTGTGTTTAGAAAAAAAAAATGCACAACTTAAGAAAACTATACGCATGTTCCTAATATTTTAACAGAGCTGATAATCTACTTTATCCATTATATTAATAAATGACAATATTTGGAAACAAAACTGTGGATGTCATTTCGTACTATAAGTAATCTCTATATTAAACTTATTTTCTATTATTTTCATTTTTATTGGGTCTGCGTCTCTTTCATTACTTGTAGCCGTTTCATTACTTATCCAAAGAAATATATAGAACTTTGACGGTAAATTACAGTGAATCACCACGAGGAAAAAGTAAAATAAGTTATTAACTAGGTGCCATAAGAATATACGTAGTAGTCATCAGCCATATTCACTATAAGCAACCATGGTGTCTCAAGAAATGCAGACTACCAATACAACAGCCAAAATGACCTCCAAAAACAAAACAAAAACAAAAACAAAAAAAAAGAGCCTAAAGAATTCTAAAAAAATGTCCCTCGTGGCAAATTCAACTGCATATACCCCTCTAAGAACATACCAAACTTATGCAGTACCTTACACAAGTCTGAGAAAATGAATTGCTTCGAAGTATCAACTAATGCAGCAATTGCCGAAACAGCGAGTTTCGACTGCAAACGAGTCCCGCCAAGACATACCCTTTTCAGAAAAGGGTAAATTTCACTAGGAAGACAGAAAAAGAGTGAAATTAAAAACTGCAAGAACTTCAATTGAGAAGCAAAATCAAATATAAAGTGAAATATTGCTTTAGATTTTACCAAAAAAAAAAAAGGAAAGACTTTAATAATAAAGTCTCCGCATAGTAACCACAAGAAATTTAAAGGAATCCAAAACACTTGTCACATAAAAAATTTATGGCTTAAACTATAAGCTAGCCACCATTTTAACTTTGGACATTTATTAGGACATGGTAAAATTGGAATCTTAATGGTCCTCATTCAAACTTGCAAAGTATATCAGAAGCCAACAATGAAAATTTCCACTCACTTAGGGATACTAAGTCCCCGTTCTTTTCACAACTCAAAGTTTTTGCTACAGTGTTTTCTCTCATAAAACTTCAAATTCAACTTTTTTGCTACAATATTGTCTCACATAAATTCACTTTTCAACTCGAGTTCTCTAACTCAAGTTGTGAAAAGAACGGGCCCTAAATATAGTAGCATTTTGTAGTCTTATATGCTGTGGTTTGGACTTTCAAGGACTATATCTCGACATTTTTGAACTTACCAATAGAGATTTTCATTTCTTCACAAAAAGACATGAATACCGAATATGGAAAGCAAAAAACATCAAATCGAAAGTCATCAGGCTGGTAAAAGCATTCACTTATCAAGGAAATAGCAACAAAATGATGATCTTGAAAATCTATAGAGAAGTAACTAAACATAAGAGGAAGGAGAAGCAACCTATGGATAATCCATTTTTATCAGTGTTCAGATATATGGTTTCTTTATTAATGAAAATCATTTGTTTTCTTGTCAGAAAAATATTCATCTTTGCTATAACTAACAATACATCATTTTGTTCAAATAAGAGTGAAGTCATACCCACAAAGATAAGACATACAGCAGAAACTACCTGATTTTTACAGATATATGAGGACCTGCTTTTGCTAACACCTCAATCATCTTATCATCAACTGTGTTGCTTCCTTCTAATAAAATTTGAAATTGCTCTTCTGAACCTTTCAGGAGCATAGGGAAGATCCTGGTAACAGCCTGGGTAAAACTAGAGTTATTATACCATAAACATTACACAAGCAGCTTGCAATCACTGGAGGTAAAGTCATTTTATTCTAAAATTGAAGGCCGGCGGTAGAGAGTGTATTAGTCACAGAAATAATCGCCACACAAGTTTTGTTTTCTGGTTCCTCAGTCATCTTTTTTAAATAAATTCTCTTAACGCTATTCTTTTTCTTTTCATTAAGAAACTAACTTTTTCTTCTAATAACAATCAAGAAATGCAACAAAACAAACGAGAAGAAAACAAAACTTGTGTGAAAAAACAACAAAAGGCAAATATGTTACGAGAAGAAAACAAAACTTGTGTGAAAAACAACAAAAAGCAAATATGTTACGAAACATCTTTCCAACTCAACAAAATAAAAATAAATGGAATATCTTTAAACTCTTTCTGAAAAAGAGACATGATAACTCAAAGTTCCACTCTCTCCCGCAATGAAATCTTACTTGGACATTATGCACTATTTTTTGAAACCAAGTAACAAAGATATGCAACGTTAAGGAAATGCCCACTGAAAACCTGCGTGACTAAAATTCTATTGTTTTGTCTGCCTAGTGTTCATTTTGTCAGAGCATAAAGAGAGTGCTCACAGTATTAACCGTCTTCATAATTAGATGTCCTTTCACAAAAACTCAATAGGATTTAAGTTCTACACTATATAGGTATCCACTTTCTAAAGTTTGATGTCATCTCATCAGAGAAGGCATTAAATTTGGCAGCAATTTCTTACCAAAAGAAGATTGACAGAAGAATCCTTAAACTGTTTGTTCCCAAAACTGCTACTGGAAAGATTATCCAAAATACAGTGGACATGCTCTGAGTTGAATACATTATAAGAGCACTTTAAGGACAGTGTCTGTAGAAACTTGAAATTTTGATGTTTATCACCAATAATATTTAGAAGCTTGCCCTGGAAAAAAAGGAAAAGAAAAGGATGGAGTAAGATATGGTCAGATGAACAAGGACTTCTAAAAATATGAAAATCAAAGGACATAATCCTTCCAACTGAACACACTGAGTTGGGGCAACTTTAGTTTTTTTGGAAATATACCCATTAATATGTAGCGTGACAATATTAGTCCTGTTTCTTCAGGGAAAAGAAATTGCCTACCACTAATGCTTTTTTCAAAATCTGAAAGCTAAAAACGGTTAAAGGCCCCAAGAATTTGTCCTTGCTTGCATATTACAATATAACCTAAGGTGGTATCATCTTAGGAGAAAATCCCAGCCAGCATCTAAAGGTTTACAAATTAAGCATTTACAGATTTACCGTAAGAACGCTTACTACATCTGGAGTGTAAGAATAGAAAACAATTTACAAGGAGACATGTGGACGAGGCCAGACATGATGCTCTTTTAATTAAACTTAGGGCATGTCTACTCATTGAGAGACCGATATAGAGAAAGTAGGCAGACCTGGGGAAGCAAAATGATTATGGCTTGGAGATGCATGAATGGAAAGAAAGTGAAAGGTGCGATTCCTTTTTCTCTTCCATTTATATGTTTACTTCTGGAATAAGAATGCAATTCTAGTACCTAATAGGCAAGTACACACTTGAATCAAATATTTGATTCCCTTCCCCATTCCTCTTCTTTCCTTTTCAGACCATTTCCAATTACAATTCATTATGAACTGGAAAAACACACCCTTAAGGAAAAGGAAACAACGTACTCTTATGGTCTGGGCATTTATGTGTTGTAGGTCATTCACCAAAAGTTCCAGCATATTAAAAATGTTATTGTCCTTCATATCATTCAATTTCTGAAAGCATTCTTCTGCTTTGGAAGGATCTGGAAAGGATGAAGCCATTTTCATGAATAAAGTTCTATATCTCTTCTGATTCTCTTCTGAACAAGTCTCCTGCAACAAAGCTTCAAACTGTCAATAATTTGATCTATATTTAGCCAAGAATAAAACTGTGAGTTATTCCATAATAACAATGACATAAAGTGACATGAAGCCAACTTTTATGGAATACGCTCCAGCATGTAAAACAATGAGAGAGAGAGAGAGAGAGTCAGATCCATTCGTTATATTATAGCCAAAATGAGGCACGGCAAACAGCCAAGGCATTGTGTGTGGACTACATCCCTCGGATACAGAATTATCCATGCTAAAGGCTACAGAAATGTGGTACAATGTTGGTAGAAGAAGTATAACAACATCAATAAATCTGTGGATCACTAAACTAAAATAATAGAGATTACAGTTAGGAATAACCACAGCCTAGCCACTAAACAATGAAATCAATCTGGACAAAACTTCAAGCATGGCAAATTACACAAGTGAACTTTACGTCCTTTTGCACACTACCCCCCTGTCGGAAGAAACATCATCATTTCCTTTTTTGTTTGTTTTGAAACATAGACAAAACTTCATTAATGATTAAGAATTATGTTCAACACTAATAGCATTACAAAACTGAGCATGCCTTGTCCCTGATTTTTCATCATATTCGTCCAATTAATCATATGTGAAATTATCCTAATATAGTATGTCATGTGTAATAATCTCTCTCAACATTTAAATTTCCTTTTACTTTTTCTGAAATAATGAGCAGCTTTTGCCTCCAAGAGAAATCTTTCCTCTGCCTAGATGAGTTCATCATCCTTGCATCCCAAGACCCAATAGGAGCTTATAAGCCTCATAAACAATGCACACAGTGCCGCTTACTCCACACAAGACACAACATTTGGTTTCTACATCCCTCTTTGATCCAATCTAAAAGAAACTGTATCATAGCCTTCTTTTTCTAGTGCCAATTGATTGGTTTGACAGTTTGCTGGTGTGACCACAGAGAGGGACAAGTGGAAGAAGTGGGTGTGCATCTATATAAAAGATATGGGCGTGTGCAGACATTCAACTTCATTTGTATCATGGATGGATCTATCTAAGAACCTTGTGAACATACAGACCATGTTGTAGTTTAACACTTCTGTGAGTGACCAAAAACAAGAGAATTAAGATCAATGAAGCATTAGACAATAAAATGCAACTTCAGACGTATCATGAGAGCTACACCATTTCACATCTGAAATCCTATAGGAAAGGAGATTTCAAAATAAAAGGACAGAAAATAGAGTTTATGCCAAATATGATCGAAGAAACTTATTCATGAGATAAAAAAAACCATGTTGATGAAAGGGAAGAAGGAAGAGAGAGAAATGCTCAAGAAAAATTACCTTTTCTTTTCTTCTCAAAGCCAAATAGGTTTGCATCTCATTTTGCAACCTAAAATCATAAATACAGTGTAAAATAACATAGAATATTGCAACGTCAAGACAGCTATATTTTCACCCAACATCCTAATAAACCTCTTGGCTGATCTTTATTTTTCTATCGATAAGAAAATTTACCTTCTCTTTTGAGTTAAAATAGAGTTCAATGCCTTCAACTGTAGGGGGGTGAAGAGGGAAAACAAGTGAACCCAGTGCCTTGTCCTCTCCTCAACTGAAAGAAGTTCCGGAAATAGATCTCTCGCTAGAACAAGCTCCATGTTTTGAGGCCTGCACAGCATTAGGGACATTTATATTTGACATTATAGAAACACCAATTTCTTCTAAAACAAGCAATCAGAAGTGTTTAACCAAACCTGAACTCCTTACAATCTTTGTCGTAGCAAAGCATCAACATTTTAAGTGGAATCTGTTCCAGGTGGTCAGATATTACCATGTAGCCTTCAGAACATTGATTAGAATAATCATGATATACTTCCAATAACTTCTGCAGAGTCTCTTTCCTAACAGATATCTGCGTGTATAAAAGATAACATAAGAATACAAGAAGGTTTCGGTCATATTTAGCAAGCGGAGATTTTTCTAAGGTAGATATACCTTTTTATCCCGAAGTCTTTCAATAGTTTGACCTAGTAATTTGGGTGGAAAAATTTTTAAGTTAAATCGGGCAAGATCACAAGCAATAATCACAGCCTGAATTCTCACCCTATCTTCAAAATCTAGGAGCCTTCCTTCAAGGGCAGCTGTTCAAACCCACATACTAGGTTTAAATAAGATATTATAGACAGTTGTTTTGAATCAGCATGTGCACAATTACAAATGAAAAGTTTCTCAACAGCTTACAAAGAACTTCATGTGATTCTGTCCCAGTAGGATTGTTCATGTAGCAAAGTTTAGCACATTGAAGAGCACTCATCCTAACTTCTGCAGATTTGTCAGAGAATCTTTTCAAGAACTCAATAAAAAGACTACGATAGTCCTGTGCAATATGGTTCTCAGGCAGTGAAAGAAGTTTCCCAATCAGAGTAAGAGCTTTTATTCGAACATCAACTTGATCAGTCTACAAAATAAAGTCATACAAATTAATGAATAAAAAGAGACACATTTGAGTACATGAGAACAAAGCAGAGCATAAGACAAGTAATTCTTGAAACAACACAAATAACAAGGTCCTCTGCCCGTCCTGTAGAGATGAGGCAATGTGATAAACTAAAACCAAGCAAATTGAAAGAGAATGCATACCAGTAATTCTTGAATCATGTTAGGAATGACAGCAAGAAGCATTTGAGGAGCACACTGGTTTATTTTAAAAATAATTTCATGGTAAAATTCTGAAAGTTCACTCTTTATAGCATCTCTATCCAAAATGCAGGATGTTAAAAAGCCACAGACAAAAGGCTCAAGCTTTTCTGCACAAGTTTGAATCACAGAAATGGCTAGCTGTGAAGAAGCAGATAATGTTTCCTGTAATAAAAATGGATGAAAAAGAATTCAGGAGGAGTGAAGTAAAAGGTTTTTACTGAAATATTTCTCTAATATCAGCTATGTATTTTTTGTTTTTTCATTACTAGAAAGGTTAAAAAATAAATAACCTTTGATTTTATTTCAGATTTCACATTACAGAACAAAACCAAAAAAAAAAAAATGAAAATTTCCATAAGACCATACATACAAGAGCCTGATTTGACAAGTCTCAGTCCATAACATCTCATGGTGTAAAAGAACAATAATTCGTGATTGCATGCACAACTAAAATGCCCTCAAGACTTTTCAAAGTGTTTTCTTGTGTCAACAATTTCTAAGAAAGCTTTAATGGTAAGTTAGATGCGTTTGAATATGTTACGTTCATGGTCTTTCAAAAATAACATATATCATGACCAGGATATAATGAATCAGCAACTTGCATCACCACCAAGGACCATGAAAACATTCCGGGAGAGGAAAGAAAAAATATATATATATACAATAAAAAAAAAAGTAGAAAAAATACAATGTAAACCTGTGTTGTGCTGGAACATAAATATATCATATATGTATTGTGAACTACGCTGATTTTTGACTCTGACCGTGATTGAGTGATAAAATTTGACTATTTATAACGAGGAAGAAGAATCATTAAAGATGGCAGAATGTAGTAACCAGAATAGGTAAATATGCCTTGCAAAAAGCTCATATTAACAATATTATTGACTTAATATTATTGGATACATGCCAGAGATATTTAATATCTGTAGGCTATGCACACTCAGTCGTGTATATTCATCCTGAAAAATAACAGTTGCTGGAAAACAGCATGAGCCAAACACATGCGTACTACAGCAGAACTCACCTTTCCCTCCTTCAACAGGTTTCGCAAAATCAAATCCAAAAGTGGCTGAGAAGCTTCCTCGTTAAGAATATGAGTCACTATAGACAAAATATCATTAACCAAACTCCGCTGGTGATGTTCTCTAAAAAAGAAAACAATGCCATTAATGTTCCTCAAACTTGGGATAGAAACAAATTAATCAACATAAAACCAGCACTTCAAGATATAATGACTTTACATTTCAAAAGATAATGACCTTTTAAAACAGAGAAGTTCTAAATCACTTGAAAACCAAGTCATAAGTAACGGTAAGAATTCATTTACAGAAGGATTATATCTTCTCACATCAATATAGTTGGTTAGAATAAGAGTACGTTCGTCACCGTTATAAATGAAGAAGAAGTCAGATCAAAATAAGGCCAAAAAGTGCTAAATTTATTTATTTAAAGAAGAAGTACAAACAAAGTAATAATGTTGACTAACAGATAAGAGCCATAGTAAAAAATAAAATAAAATATTGCAGACGAAAAATTATATTAGTACATCTAGAAATAAAGAACCGGGCAAAGCATGAAAGAGGGAGAAGATGTTGACCTCACAACAGAGAAAAAAATATCGAACATCTCCGTAACCAGATCATTGCAGTCAATATCCAACATTATCACACAACATTTACATCTCGAGACAATCTCCAAAATCTTAACCCTCCTTGAAAAAAAGGGACTTGTGGTATCAGCTAGCTCAGCAAACATGCTCAAAATAAGTTTAAAAATATCCTGAAATGAAGAATCATGTATCTCACAGTAGTCAGTAAAAAAACTAACATGTGCCAAATGTATAATCATGCATGAGAGACGCTAGGAGAGAGGATTACGACACAGATAGAATACAATTATATTCAATCTTAAAATTTTCTTTTCTTTTAATGGGAGTGATAGATGGGCTAAGCACATGCGAAAAAATGAGTCATAGCATACGAATGTGGTAAAGCTTTACCCTAAGATATTTATCTTCAAAAGGTGGTTCAGGTGCGAGGATACGAAAAATTTCGCTGACACAGATGGCTACTAAAAGCCTAACATCCTTATCTCTATGCTGAAGCAAGCCATTGACAATACGTTTCTTCAGGGGCTTTATTGCAGCTTCTATCTTTTTGGCGGCTTCAGACTTTTTGGCGACTTCTTGTGAAGAAGGCTGTTCCAACTGTGACAAAGTACTTACGGCTTGCTGCAAAGATAAGTGTCAAAAAATTTATAAAAAAAAAAAAAAAGTAACTAAGAAACTAAAAACAATAATGACAAACGATGAAAAAGAAACCATAAAACATTCCCACGATAAGTGACACCAAAGCATTTTAACACATTACTAGAGAAAATCAATTTATTCAGTAGCAATCAGAACAAAACTCAACAATAAACAATTAAAAACTCTAAATAAATCCTGGGTTATGCAATGTGATCCTCTTTTTAGCACTTTTCCTTCCTACTCACAAATATACCAAAACGGGCATTTCAAAAACTAAATAAGTAAATAGAACAAAGCAAGGATAATCCTAGATTAAAAGTCATAATAATCCTGAGATAATTAACATAAGATAACCCCAATAATTATTCTAAAATAAATAATAATACCCAAAATAATTCCAATTACGTCACTCCATCACTCTCTTTGCAATGGTCATTCGTAGAAAGCATGGGACTCATAGTAGATGCATCGAATTCAGCGTTTAAGCTTGCATGTGTATATTGTATATTTACATGCGAAATCTAAACATACATAAATATGTTTAAATATACTCTCGATTGCATTTTTACCTAAAATTTGTTTGTAGTACTATGAAACCAGATATACCCAAAGTAAAACAATTAGTGGAAGATTGAAGAAAAACAAGACAAAGTAGTTAAAACTCGAATCAAACACCAAAAATGAGACGTAAATCAATGTATGAAATACCAAGAAAACGCCGAACAAATTAATCAAAAGAAAATTGAAAAACAAACATTTACATTCTCGAATTAAAAATAAAAATGGAAAACAAAAATCTCTCGGAAAACAAAACGACAGAGCAAATTGACGAGAACGCAACGAATCGCTAATACAAAACAGGCGCACAGGCGATATTCGGAGCGAATTGGGCTTACTCGGAGAGATTTGACGAGGAAATCCTTATTCGGGCGAGTCTGTTGAGCGAGTTGGGTGCCGATTTCGGAAACGAGTCGCAACGCGGAATCGTCCATTGGATCGGAGGAAGCCCTAATTCCAGTGAAGTTGAGGAGGTTAGAAGTGAGGGTCGTGGTGGAATTTATGGGGCATTTCTTGCTCTATCGCTTCACTGATTTTTATAGAGAGAGAGAGGGAGAGAGAGAAGAAACGCCGGGTTTTTTCGCTTTCAAGAATCAAGAGACCGAGCTCCCGCCTTTGCCGCGCGTGATTTGGACGTGCCTTTTTTATAAACAGGGCAATTTTTGAACCTATTTGCCTTAAAATTTTAAAAACAGAAAAAAAAAAGCAGGATAAAATCAAAAAAATAATTTATATTTACACTTAATTCTGGAGTAAATTAATTAAAAAGGTATAAAAAAACATATCATTTTATGTCTCGAAAAATTATCTCAAGGTATCTAAAAGATTTTAAATAAAAAACGTAAATTAAAAGTGTAAGTTTAGATCGTTCAGTCCGATCGGTCTGAAAGGAAATTTCAAGCCAAACTGGACAGACCCTAAAAGAGATAGAATCGCATCATCCTACTCCTAAGTCCAAAAAAATTTAAAGTTGGTCTAAAATTTTATAATGTATTTTTAAAAATATATATATATGATGTTTAGGCCGAATCAGTCCAGTCCTAAAAATAATGCCTTTTGTGCTCGAGAAGTTGAAGCTAGAGCGTTGAAGCTAGACCTCTTGCTTTAAATTTGGTTTGAGCAAGAGATGGTTTACTAAATCTCCAATTGATGGAGTTGGATGCATTGATAATTGTATAGGATATGAATGCTGATCATTTTAGTTTGCATTGAGTATGGTATTTTATTGACATATGTGTCTAGTTTATTGTCTTTTTTTATGAGTAAAGATTTATCATGCATTTTAAGGAGGCTTAAAAAATGGCCCACTACGTTACTTTTATGCTTTTTATTATAGATGATCAGCTCATTTATTGGATGAATCTCTCTGTCTATTAAAGTCATTATGTGCACAATATATTATTTTAAGAGTAATTGTACCATTAGTCGATGCGAGTTGTGCGCCCGTTTATTTCATTGATGTAAGTTTAAAATTTAAATTTTATTATAGTAAAAAAAATTTAAAAATAGTCACATCTAATTTTTTTATTATAGTAAAAAAATTTTATATAAACATCTTAATTTGAATTAAAAACTCAAATTAACAAATTAAGAGTCTGTTTGGTACTATGATTCGAATCATAATTCATGGTTCGCTACAGTATTTTCTCTCACAAAAAATACAAGTAAATCGAAAATGATTCTAATCACATGGTTTGAATTTATGAACCAAACGCCACCAATAGGCCGTAAATTGATGTAGACCACGAGCTCTCTCCTCAGCTACCATTGGCGCGAAAGCACCTATTTCTCTCACCTCCTCTTCATCCCCTCTCTCTCCTCAGAAACGGATGTTATTCATATTTGGTAAGTTTGTGCTTTCTAAACATACAACCAAACTTTACTAATCATGTTTGAAATATAAAAAAAAACATTTTAGAATATTTTACACGTACCAAAAATTAATGTCGTTAAAATAATTACTACATAATTTGTAGTATAAACGTTAAGCTCATTATAACGATTAACGTGTCACTTTGCAATTTCTGAAAATTTTAAACAAACTGCTATATTTCAACTCCATCGTATAAATTTACCGTGTAATGTAATTTTTACATTTTTTTTTTTATAAAAGGGGATTTCAAAAGATAATTACTTTGGTTTTTATCTGGATCTATTAAGAGATTGTTTAGTTAGGGAATTCGTACCCCAATTTGAATTATTGTTCATAGTTCACAACAGTATTTTTTCTCACAAAAAATACACGTAAATAAAAAATAATTCTAATTTATAAACTAAACGTCTCCTAAACACAGTCATTAATCATCGTTATCAAAATAAAGGGGAGCCTATTGGGTTTCAATATTCGCTACTATGCAAGTGTCATTTGGATGCGACTTGACTCAATTGTCTACAAACTTCTTATATGTGTATCTCTTTAAATTATATCCTCTCCATCCCACAAATTTCCCTGCTACATAAAAACTATTTTTAAATTTTTAAGAAATGGAATATATTTTGTACCAGAGTTTCAAGAGATTTCTCAAGAGTAAGGTGATATCATCAAATAGAATATGGAGTTCGATATGGAATGGACTGATTGTAAACATTTTAATTGTCAAAAATGGTATTCCCAAGTATAAAGTAGCAATGTAAATAATGCTGTTGGTTAAGAACATTAAAAGTATGTTTAGTTCATAGGTTTAATGCCGAGTATTTGCTCAATTTTAGTTTGATTTTTTTTAAACAAAGAAAAAAAAATACCCAAACCTGCATCCGAAGCATTTTTCCAAACTTTTAATATGATAAAAACACACATCAAAATAAAATCGTATGTAAATCTAAGTGAACCTGAAAAAATATAATATAACTATTAAAATGAGAAAACGTACCAGCTACTGTGAGATGGTAAAAATCAATCCAATTAAAGATCGTTTGTTTTATGTTTTTAAATTTACAATATAAACGCATTAATTAATGTGCCTGGATGAAAAAAATATGAATTTGTTTAGTTAAAGAACTCGTTATCTAATTCAAATCATAATTCATAATTTATTATAGTATTTTATTTCATAAAAAAATACATAAATTAAAAATAATTATAATCTTATAATTATAATTCATTAACCAAATTTCTAACTTTCTCAGGCACACCTTTTAAAAATAAAAATAAAAATAAAAATAGGCATAGTTCCTCCTAGGCCAGGAGAACTGGAGCCCACTCTTCCGCTACTGTCGCGTCTAGGACCAGAAGCCCAACAAAAAAACCTCTCTCTCTCTCCCTCTCTCGTGATTCTAAAACCCACAAATCTTACAAAACCTCGCAGGTCGCAGAGAGGGAGAGAGTATCTGATCGGGAAAAATGGAGGTGGTGAACAAAATAGCGAACGCGGTGGCGAGAGCAGCGGAGAACAACACGGTGATAAACGTATGCCTGGTGGGGGCGTTCGTGGCTCTGGGGGCGAGGTCTGTGAGCCAGCAGAGGGACATCGAAGCCCTGGAGGCGGAGAAAGCTTCCCTCATCAGCTTCAACAAATCCATGAAGAAGGCCATGTGGGATTGGAAGCAGAAGCTCTTCGCCGCTGCCGAGGCCGAGTCCGACTCCGCCCTCGTCCCCCTCGCCCGCCTCAAAGCCATTTACGGCGACGCTCCCAGTTCCTCTAATGGTATTCCTACTCTCTCTCTCTCTCTCTCTAGAAACTTTTTATTTGCTCTCTTAAACTGTTAATTGTATTAGATGTTGGACTTTGATGAAGGTTTCTTTTTTTTTTTTTTTTTTTTTGGGAGAATGAAACTGAATATCATTGAATAAAGGCCAAGTCTTTACAAATTTCATCTGAGATTGTAATAGGGATCTCAGTAGTCCAAACATGACTAATAGAATAAGACAAATCCAAATTAGCAAGCTCGTGACCATTAAATTATTGATGTCAGTAAGAGAAGCTTATGCACAACAAAATTCATAGTCTCCATGTAATAAGTCCACCACCTCCTTAGCATCAGTTTCCGCCGCGTACAGAGTATTTCCCAATTGTTTGACATAGGACAGGCGCTCTCGGATAGCTAGACCGAGCTTCAGCCATTTAGTAGGGAATTTCAACAAAAAACCAGTAAAACCCTTGTCCCTGTGATCACGAAGAACTCCACCTATTCCCACAAAGTCAGCATCCACTGAAGCAGCCGCGTCGGTGTTCAGTTTCAAGCAGCCTTCTGGGGGAGCTCTCCGCTTATCATGATGATGAGCCGGTCCCACCTGCAATGGTTTTCATATGGCTCGAGCCTCTTTATAGTTTTTCAAAACAGCTTCGTCAAGCATTTGGTCTAGAAGCCGTTTGACGTCCCTTATGCACAAATGAATTCTTCCTTGGAATCTTGGATAGAAATAAGCATAAGTCTAGCCCTGAGTCACCCCTAAACTTGCTGACTTGATCACTGAACAAAGAGAGAAACCAAACTGCAACACTAGAGGGGCATTCAACGAGCATGGACCGCAATTTCCACTGCTTCTTGACATTGCCAACAACACTTATTGGTGTTGATCCCTCTCCGAGCTAAGTTCACCTGCACAAGAAGAATATAATGACATAATTTCCAAGCAAATATTTTAATCTTGCTTGGAATACCGAGATTCCATAATTTGGACCACCACACCATCAGAGAACTACTCACAGACCCGCCTTCCACCTTAACGTTTTGCGTAGCTCGCCAATAGCCGGACTTCACATTTATAAGCCCCCCTCTTCTTATAGTGCCAAATCAATTGACTATTTTTGTTTTTTTTTTTACAGGAAAAACGAAATTGAATGGGTTGATTTAAATGAGAAAAAAAGGTTAAAGACAAATTATTGATTTAATATTTTGTGTGGTGAAAGTCAAAGTGGGCACTTTGTTTGTACTGTTCTATTTAAAATATCATAGGCAAGTAGGATCATTAAGAAGCAAGCTATGATCTGGATGATGCTATATGATTTTATTTACCTGCATTGGATTGCTGTATAAAAAAAAACAGAGAGAGTATTGTATGGTACATTTTTGCAATATTTGCTATGTCCATGTTGTTTGTTTTTCAATTTGCATATTTGTTTGATTTGCGCTGTTTTTGGTGTGTGCATTGTTCTGATACATGCCGTAGTAGATCAACATGTCAATCTTTCTATTTTTGAGCAATGATGCACATCATGAAAAATATGATAATCGATATCGATGTGGCAAAATTTGTTGAATTTGAGCTCAAATTATTGTTTTGTCCCAGTTTTTTCATCCCTAACAAGTTTATATTTTAGTCTCATTGTGTTCATGAAATTTTTTTTTTTTAAATAATTTTTAATGATATTTATCATTTCCTAATCAAAATATCATTGGTATAATAGGATTATTAATGAAGCATGCTAGAGTGAAGCTATGCCATTTATTTATTTACCTGCATTGGATTGTTTAAGCAAAAAGAAATAAATATATGAAGTATTGTTTTATGGCACATTTTGCTATTTTTTTTACGTGCTTATTTTTTTGATAATAAGAACTTTATTTATAAAATTCAATAACAAGGGCAGAGGACAAGGTATCCTCAAACTGAAAAGAAACAAAAATGGCCAGGTGTGAAAAACTGACTAAAATACAAAAAGAGCAAGATAAACACATAAATAGTATCTCAAATCAATTCCCTATTACATCTTTCCAATTCAAAATGACCAAAGTAAACGGGAACCCTGAAGGAGCCCATAGCAATGCATAGAACCTTGTCTTCTCAAAAATATCAATTGGCCCCATCGCCTTTTCCTAAAAAATTCTGCCATTCTGTTCCATCGACAAAGATCATAACAATGAGAGCACCATACTATTCCATAGGACTCTGGCCTTCTTATTAGAACCGAATCCCACAACTCTCTCAACCATCAAAGAACTACACTTTGCTGGAGTTGCCTAACTAAAACCGGCCTCCAAACTTCACTTGTTCCAAAGTGATCTGGCAACCCTACATGCTTATTGTTTCGTTTCTTTATTAAATTTGTGTATCGTTTGATTATGACATTCGGAAATGTGTTACTGGATTAGGTTGGTGTGTCGGCATAGAAGTGACCCTAAACGAAAAGCATTCCATAAGGATGATTTTGCTTTTTGCCATATACATCATGAATATCATGAATGCATGCGTGACAAAATTCTGTTGAATCTGTAGTACTGGAATTATTGTTTTTTTCACTGTGTATCCTTTTTTTGGCAATCTTTTATCTCATGGTTAAGCTCAATGATGGATTATCTCTTCTCTAATTGTGTCTTCTTTTGTGGTCCGCTCGTGCCAGATGATGCTTCAAAGGAAGATGCTAATTCTCCTGCGTCCAAATTCGTGGTCTGACGTCTTGAAGAGGGATAATTGTTGGATTCATACTGGATTGTTGACGACTGAAATTCAATCAAACCGATGGTATAGCCTGTAACTTGTTAGATCTCTCATACACCTTAAATTGTAAATCAGGAGTTTGGTAAGGACTAGGCTCTAGAGTTGTTTTATAAACTCGTTCACTTGGGATGACAAAGAATAAATGTCAAATGGGCTTTTGGGGTTTTTCATTTTAGATTGAAATGCTCAAACCTTGGTTTGGTTTCCCAAATGCCGTAAAAGCCAACAATTGAAGAATCAGTGAATTTCAGGCTATTGGGCCTAGTTTCTTACTCTTTTTTTCTTACTCCTTGCTTTCTTTACAATTATTGTTTTTCCTGTTGCTATTTCTGGTGTGTGAAACAGTGAATCACAGTATTGAACAGATGAATAAACTGATTATTGTAATCTCCCTGATTGAAGCTGAAAGATAAATCCTTTCTGTTTTTCTTTTTCTTTTTAGTTTAGTTTTTGCCTTTGTAGAATTTCTTCCAATAGTTTTGGCTTGCAAATCCTTGTTTTCCTGTTATCTGATGACCAAAACGCAACAAACTCTACAACTTCATTCCTTTGCAGAAGAAAATTCTCAGACTTGTTAAATTCCTCCATTCCATTTTTGTAGATAAGAGAAGTTGTGATACAATCAGTCTTTTGTGTATTTAGCTCTATTTTGGCTAGTAGCGGCAACAAAATAATAAGAAAAGAAAAGTGGGAAGAATGGGGCTAATCTCATTGGTTTTGCCCTGCAATATATTTCTACGTCATAATCAAGGAGGATGTAGAAATATACTGAACTTTCTTTCATAGGTGGATCTTGCATGTAAAACTCGTCATAATGATTTAATTGAACAATACTAGGGGCACTATTGTTATTCAACATCACACACTAATAGAAAAGAAGTCTTCTAGTATGCGACTCACTTTCTACTAGTTATGGTGCTCGACATCAATAATGCCCCAAGCATTTTTCTAATGAATTACTTTGGCTGAAAAGGATTGAGACAATTGTATAATGCCAATTCCCTCCTACTAGTATGCCCTTTTCGTAAGCTTTAATGTCATTGCAGGAGCCAGGCTACCTGGCTATCTTTTTCCTCTGATTGGTATTATTAGAGAGGCAATCCACGCTCCATTTACTGTTTAAAGAATAGTTTGCTTTTAGAATTTCTGCCTTCTCTTAGAATCACATAAAAGATAACAATGCAAATGAAAGGAGGGCAAATGGGCAACGGTTTATTCTTACTTTGAATGCTCAAAAGACTGTCAGTGTCATCGACCAAATCTTGATGTTTTAGTAATTTTTGTACCTTGAGTGACTTGATCAATTTAATCCTTTGCTTTATTTTTATGAGGGGAAATTGGAAAGAGAAGTGTATGATTGACATCAATGATTTCCATGTGCTTCTAATGCTAGCTCATGCGACTGAGGCATATTGATTCAACCTTGAGTGACTTGATCAATTTAATCCTTTGCTTTATTTTTATGAGGGGACATTGGAAAGAGAAGTGTATGATTGACATCAATGATTTCCATGTGCTTCTAATGCTAGCTCATGCGACTGAGGCATATTGATTCAGTATGGCCTTAAAAACTTGTTCTCAAAGATAAATGTTGTTCAATCCCATAATAGCTATGCGACAGAGTGCACCATTGAGATTCCAAAAATAAGTGCGCGAGAAGGTGTAGGTATGCTAATTAACACAACCAGTTGGCATTCTACTTCAATGTAGTAGTCTAGGGAAGACTGAAAAGGAAAAGGAAAATGAAAATGGTGACAAAGTGAGAGAAATCAATGTAGATAATTTGAGCAATGGGAAAATGATATGAATTAGGTACTTTGAGAAGCAAGTGTGGAATTTTCTTTGCTTTGGATTTGCGATAGTGAATCTCTTCAATAATGCAACGGTTGGTACAAGTACAACTAGAGGTGGAGTATGGGCGTTCTTCAATTATCATGAAAAAGAAGGAGGGGGCAGGGCAGGGAAAACACACAAAAAGATAGTCGGTCTTTAAATAATTTTTCTTGTCTAATTTCAAAAGGAGTTCTTAGACCATTTCGAATGCAACAATGAATGTCAATTTTATATTTGCCATCAAAAGTGTGTAAATGACATGTTAATAAGCTAAGCTAATTTGTATCATAATGAATAATACTTTTAAAATATATAATTATACTTTTTTTTCATAGTTATAAAGCTTTCAAATACATAAAACAAACTTTTAATATTTAAATAATTTGAAAATGACAATTTTTTTATAATGATTAAAAGAAAAAGTTAATGCACCATTACTAGCAATCAAACGTTAAAATTTAACATGGTTATATTCAGTGCTAAATTTGCAATTAAGTATGGTATTAGTCAAATTTAACATTAAAAAAAACATTTTATTGAAGACTGTAGACTAATTTTTTGGACTCGAATACTAAGGCCTCGTTCGTTTCGCTGATTCGAGTTTAGAATTTGAGTTTTGCTACAGTAAAAAGCTCTCACAAACAATCACATCTAACTTTTTTACTACAGTAAAAAGCTCTCACATACAATCACATCTCAACTCGAATTCTAAACTCGAATCAGCGAAATGAACGAGGCCTAAAATTCGTCATTGGCACAACAATTTGATATTATATTCAAGATGGTCTTACATAAAACTCAAAATGGGCTCCCCTTGGAATTATATTGGGAATTTCAAGGTTCAAATGTGTGCTTTATTGGTTCTAAAGACAAAACGGTACGGACGGTACGGCGAAAAGATAAGTAGCTTTCCTTACCTGCTTCAAGATAAGTATCTTATTGAGCCATAGTTTCAACACTTCAGTCGCGGTGCACTCAAGAAAAATTCGAATTAATAGAGCGCGTTTAGTTTATATATTTAGAATTATGATTTAAAATTATTTTCATTTTATGTATATTTTTTATAAGAGAAAATATTATAAAAAATTATGAATCATAATTTAAAATTAGTGACGAATATAAGAAAGAAACGTCAAATAAGCTTAAAAAGTGGAGTTGAAGAGAGTGAATAATAGATGATAATTGACGTCAATAATACATTTGGCCTCTATTATTATTCTCTTTTTCTATATATGTACGTATATTGTACGGTGGGTGGGAGAGAAAGAGAATGATGACTAAATAAAACCACAGTTTTGGGGTAATTGAACGGTTAAAATAAACATTTAAGAATTAAGACCTCTAAAATTGCATAAATGCACGAGTATGATGCATCATATCATTGACGATACAAAAAAATTAAGGGTGCGTTGAAATTCGTTTTAAAATAATTTTGTTTTTTGTATGTAAAAGAAAATGAAAACGATTTCAATCTCAGTTAAAATTTATTTTTAAAAATGTATTTAGTAGTTTTATCAAGAGATTATTTTCAGTGTAAAAAAAACCATTAATGTCTCTCTTTCTCTCTCTGCTTGAGAGAGGAGACAATGAAAACAAAAAAAAAAATGACTAAAAGTCATTTTTCATTTCTCTCTTATTTTATACCAAACTAAAAAATCGTTTTCATTTTTATTTTTTGTCTTTATTGCGTTAAACGCCGTTTTAAGAACGTTTTTATTTTTTTCTAAAAAAACGTGAAAAATAAATAAATAAGAGGAAATGTTTGCTGTATCCCGAAGATATCTCGGTAAAAACTTAATTGGAGCTTGGTGTGATATTATTTCCCCTCACGGTCACGTTTATTCCTTTTAATAAATAAATAAATAAATACAAATTATTCTTCGGTACAAATTATGCTTCACCTCCACTTCCGGTACTGAACTTTTTAGCCAGCTTATTTAATATCCCATGATATATTCCTAATGTAATGCATATTAGACAATTTTGTCCCATTAATAGATCTTAATTAGAAGTGGTGCCACTTCCATCGTCCAGGTTTTACTCCTAAGATTGTTAAGACATCTAATAAAAGGTAGAATTCAGTTGTGTGACTTACGTTGTAGTGCACATTTTATTAGCGTGTGATATTGAACTCTATTAGCGTCTCATAATAAAATTGATTTTGTTATCTTTTTAATATGTTCTTTTGCGAATAACTTCTCAATTACCTCATAATTGAACATTTGATTACATTTATAATATGGAGGTGTATTTTTTTTTTTTTTTTTTTTTTTTGTGATTGACAAAGTAAATAAAGGTTACCCAAGCAAAGGGGGTTGTGGTCTCCCCAACACATTCAAAGCATATGGCCTAATTGACAAAGTAAATTGTTGCATACACAAACCAATCACATGTGATCTTATTACTATTGGACCCCAACAAGCAACAATAATGTACTTCAAATCTGTCTTGTGTTCTGCATCTTTTTGTTGATCCCAATCTTGTGGTCACTTGAAGGAAAGTTGGTCAAAATGTGGGTTTTGTTTCCAAAATTACAAGGAATTCCCACTTTACGTGTCTTTCCAATTCGTAAAGTTTATACGTGGAAATGAATATTACAAAATACTAATTGGAAGCAACATAATACTAGCTAGAGAGTAGGGGAAAAGTAGGTAAAAGAAGAACCTCTCACTAGTATGACATAACTGATCTGAATATTCAGATTTTTACAGGATTTCGTTAAATTTGTGGTATTTTTTTTCCTTAAGCTAATATGATTCTAATGTTATTTGAAAACTTATTGTGCGTGTTTGGAATCGATTTTGAAACCGGTTTTTACAAAAATCGAGGCGCCAAAAATGAAATTGATCTCAAAACCACGTTTGATGCATTAATTAATTGAAATGGTCTTTTTGCAAATTGCATTACTTTTTGAAAACGATTTTTTATCGTTTTCTCGTTTTCATTTCTATTTTTATTTCTATCTCGTATGCCATCGCAATCTCTCTCTCTCTCTTGTTTGCCATCAACGCCGGCAACCGTCCATCGGTGTCCGCCACCACGCGTCGGCCATTGTCGGACTTCCGTTTTCCTAACAAGCCACGCTGTTGTTGTCCCACCGTTGAGAGGAGCAAAACCCGACCAATCTCAGCCTCGATCATCGCTAGAGTAGTCTGGGTTCACTGCCGCCAAGTTTTGGGGTTTTGGACATTTTTCCGGCAAATCGGACACCGATCTGAGAAATTAACGTCGGGAAGGTATTCCTTTAGCCAAGAGCTCCAATTTGGTACTCGCCTCTCCCGACAACGCTCCGGTCAACACCAGTCAATGCCGGTCCAATTTAATTTTAATTATTTTAATATATTATCTTATTAATTATATAGTAACAAATTAATTCTATTTTAATTTTTAATTTTTAATTACTTATTATATTAATTATAGATTATTTATTTGGGTACTGAAAACATATTTTCAAAAGTATAAACTAAACACAGTTTTATTTTTTTTATATATTAAAAATAATCTCTCAATAAAATAATCAAACACAGTTTCAGAAACGGTTATTGTACAATTCTCA